TCGACCCTGATACCTTTCCTCCATCACTTTTAGATCCTGGTGGAACCGCTGTTCTTATTCCTCACTATAATTTCCTAAATTATCCGGAAATTTATCCAGATGATTACGGAGATAGTGTAACTTGATACTCATATTTGCTCCTAGAATCTGAAAGATTGTCAGCATATTTTGTACAATTTCTTCATAATTTGGTGCTTTATGGTTACCTAGAAAATTTTCGACTACCAACACAAAACTTTTCCAAGCTTTACTTTCCGGAACAGTCATAAGTTTAATAAAATCTGTGTCTTTCATCAATTGCAGCTTAAAACGTTAAAACAATCTCCTTTCTTGTCCAACGCTTTTACAAATTGCTTTATCATTCCTAACTTAATATGTAATGGTGGAAGTATGATATTGTCTCTGCTCACCAACGGCTCCCTTATTACATTGACTTTACCGACAGTTAAAGAATTTCTTACAGGCCAAACATCTTGTTCCCAATAAAGTTGCTTTGCTCTACTGTCCCACATACAAATGAAGCAAGGGTAATTCGTGTATCCACTTTGTTGACCAAGTAAAAAATTAACCATCTTCAAATGCACACAGATCTGGGCAATTGAAATTGATGCAAATTTATTTCCATTGTGCAGTAAGATGTACTTTAAACTTCTTTTACAACTGTCAATGAAAAGGCGCCACTCAGTAGGTTTGTATTCTTTAAACCCATGTCTAGAAGCAGCTTCGCGATATCATTACAGTACACCAGTCCTTCATTTCCACTAAAAGATTGTAATAACTCACTTTTTCGCGTTCTGTATACGGAGAATTTTTTTTCTTTCAATCTTGAGGCTAACAGTTCTGATCCTTGCTTTGGTAAATTGAGATCACCTATTAAATCACTGAGTTCATTTTGAGAAAATAACTTCGGCGTAGATGTTTCACCCTCTCATTCACCTCCACTGGTAGACTGTCCCGACTTCTGTGAATTTGGCAACATCATTGTTTCTGGGGGCATGCGAATTACTTTTGAAACGTAAATAGCCGAGGGAGATTTTCACTGTGTAGAATAGGACATTTTCTAGACTGCAAGTCAGGATATCTCCACGTTTGACTTCGATTAAAACCTTCAGCATTTACTACGCAAAAGTAATAATCATCGAAATAATTCTTAGGCTCCATCCAGATCATAGGAATACCAAAATCAAATCCAGAACGTTCTCCTATTTTCCACAACCGTAAAGACTCAACACAGGTCTTACAAACTTTATGAGGAACCCATGATTTATCTATTTTGTAGATTTTAAAACCAAAATATTCAGCATAAATCTCCTCGACAAAGTCTGTGATTTTGATCTCAGCTGTTTTGCGGAGCAAGGGGTCACGTGATGTTTGTATGCGCGAAAAAGTTGCGTAGAAGCCTAATCATGACTGGGAAAATAAATTTTATTACTAACAAGCCGATAATTGTTTAAAATATCAGATATGTAAAAATCATAAAAAACAAGAGCATATTAAGTACTTTCCTGAATATATTCGTAATCTGGGCATTTGAAAACATAAAAATTTACAAAGATATCCAGGGTAACAAAAAAATTTTTTTGTGATAGAGCAGTGTTATCGGTAATGTAGTATCTGAACGCAAATATAAAGTATCTGTTTGTGTTCTGGAGTAATGGGACTTATATTTTGGAAAAAGATTAATATCGCCTGTGAAATTTTATTTTTTCCGCCTATGCCTCTTAAATCTTTAACACCTACCCTTCTTTTCATACTCTTCAGAGCTAAATCTACTTTACCGCTCGATATTCTTAACGTCTGCAGAAAGAATGGTTTACGTACGGTAACATCGTTTATGGTGAACTGCCTCTTCTATCTGTTTCTTTTTTCTGAGTTTTTATTTTTTTTCTCTTAACTGGGAAGTCATTTACCGTTGCACAANAACTAGAACAACCCAGAACAACAAAGAAAATTTGATTTTTCCAAAAATGGGGGGCTAGTCAAAAAACCTGTTTTTTCGGTTTTCTCGCGGAGTTTTTATCTTTTCGATTTGCCGCTTTGGAACAATGTAGAACAACTCTAGAACAATCTAGAACAACAATAAAAAATTTAAAAATCAAAAATGGGGGGCTGACTTCCCGCACTCGAATATTTGTTATTTGAAAAATCGTATAATTCTGTACATTCACGTACAGTTTCTATTAACTTTTCATCATTTTCACACGAAAATTTTCGTTGTCGCTTCATTTTGCCGCCTTTTTTACAATGGAATTCAGACTTGCAGGCACTCGTCGGAAATCAACAGGTTTGAGCCGGTCAAATATTCTTTCAAATGATCGTCGTGGTCACATGACCGGCGCATGACCGCAAGAAGATCGCATGTGTGAATATACAGGGTGTTCAGAAATTGTCGTATAATCTACACGTAGTGTTATTTTTCGTTCGATTCTAAAGCGAAAATCTTAATTGCAAAATGTTGTACCATGCTTCATACGTCTTCACGAGGTTCTCAAAGGTCGGATAATTTATCCATTAATAATCATAAATATTCAATATGTGTTGATAAATAAGCTGTAATTTGGAATAAAAAGAATTTTGAAAACTAGTTTTTTTTGTTCAAGTTATTTTGTTTTGCTTTAAAGTGCGTTTTTAACATTTCTTCATTATAACATCTTCAGGAAAAAGACATTTTTCAACATAGTAGAACAACATTTTCACATTAAGATTTTCGATTCAGAATCGGTCGTAGAATGTTGCTACGTGTAGATTATCCGCCAATTTCTGAACACCCTGTATTGCCGTGAAATGCATATGTTTAGTAGGAAAGAAATTTTGCTTTGACCGTGACCGGCCCGTGACTTGACCGGTCGTTGATCGATAGTGTGAATAGGCCTTAAGTACTTCAATATTGTCAAATAACTGTGATCTCAGCTGTTTTGCGGAGAAAGGGGTCTGAGAGTGGAGATCACGTGATGTTTGTATGCGCGAAAAAGTTGCGCAGAAGCCTAATCATGACTGGGAAAATAAATTTTATTACTAACAAGCCGATAATTGTTCAAAATATCAGATATGTAAAAATCATAAAAAACAAGAGCATATTAAGTACTTTCATGAATATATTCGTAATCTGGGCATTTGAAAACATAAAAAGCTGTTATCGGTAATGTAGTATCTGAACGCAAATACAAAGTATCTGTTTGTGGTCTGGAGTAATGGGACTTATATTTGGAAAAACATTAATATCGTCTGTGAAATTTTATTTTTTCCACCGCCTATGCCTCTTAAATCTTTAACACCTACCCTTCTTTTCATACTCTTCAGAGCTAAATCTACTTTACCGCTCGATATTCTTAACGTCTGCAGAAAGAATGGTTTACGTACGGTAACATCGTTTATGGTGAACTGCCTCTTCTATCTGTTTCTTTTTTCTGAGTTTTTATTTTTTTTCTCTTAACTGGGAAGTCATTTACCGTTGCACAAATGAGTGCTCTTTAACCCTCATGGGAAGTCACGTAATTTTTTTTGTATTGCTCTTACGCCTGTTCTATCCTAACTTTATATAAACAATCACAGTGGCATAGAAATCGTAAAACCGAAATCGTAAAAAACATCACTTACATTTTGCATGTATTGCGATTGATCATTTCGTTGTTCTGATGTAACCAAATTAAAAAAATTTGGATAACTAACAACTATGTGTTTGGCTTTAACATTTTATACGTTTTATAAGTGGACCATCTAATACGATACATCCAAAATAATTAAACTAAATAAAGATTAAAATTAATGAATTTACTCACAATTCTGGTTTATGGGCAATGTGGAAAACGTTAAATGCAAAAATACGATGAGATTTCTCGATGTACCTATTAATCGCATTTATCTTGGTTAGTAATATCCAATGTTTCAAACGATAAATTGGGGTTGTTATTAATTTTGTCGGCTTCTACATCATATTTCTACATCAACAACAATTGCTGATGTAGAAATATCGCTACCAGTTAAGTGATGAAGGTGGTCCTTAACGATGGGGTAATCAACATTTTTGGTAATACATCCATTTGCACAGCCGACCTCTAAAATATCTTCCGATTTTGTCCAATTAAATAATTTTTCATATTTTGTTAGGAATTCGTTTGAGTAGACGACCGTGTTGTAATTGTTATCAAAAAATAAAAGGGAATCGTACATCTTTGTCACATGCAATTATATTNAATTTTAATCATTGTGACTCGGTCTATGGTGCTTGCATAACTGGGGACAATCGAAGGCGGGTGCAGTATGTCCAAAATGGGTGCTTAAGACTAATTTATGGAATTCGAAAGTACTGCAGAATTTCACATAAGTTAAAAGAATGTGGGTGGCTAAATATGTGTAACAGAATCATTTTTCACAGGGGAGTAGTTTATTTTAAAATTTTAAATAAAAAAACACCTGTTTATCTGAGCAAGAAGATATCGTATCATAAATTTGTCGGCTTCTAAATCATATTTCTACATAACAACAATTGCTGATGTAGAAATATCGCTACCAGTTAAGTTATGAAGGTGGTCCTTAACGATGGGGTAATCAACATGTTTGGTAATACATCCATTTGCACAGCCGACCTCTAAAATATCTTCCGATTTCGTCCAATTAAATAATTTTTCACATTTTGTTAGGAATTCGTTTGAGTAGACGACCGTGTTGTAATTGTTATCAAAAAATAAAACGGAATCGTACATCTTTGTCACATGCAATTATATTGTGTAATTCATATCGAACAAAATATTTCATTTATGTCACTTTTGTGTTATTTCATACATTGATTATTCTCCCATAATAACACTCTTAGTGGAAAAACTGATTATACAAGTCAATTTAAATAATTAATACCTGAACAAGTTATTCCCTATTTAAAAAAAAATTGTTATAATACATGAATAATTCAAAAATGCATCTAATTTAAAGGATTACGACATAATTGCATTATCTTTGAATCTCTTGCTATATAAACACGTTTGTTCAGTTTAAACACTTAAATTGTTAAAGCATTGCAGAACAAAAGAAAAAATGTATAACTCTGTGTTGTTCTCAGATAGCATCTGTCATTCAAGTAATCACGCAAAAAAGTTTCTAACATGCTACAAACATTTATTTAATTGGAGTAACTCTGAAAATGTCTTGGAAATTGGGTGTTCAGATGGACGTATTACAATAAATGTTTTATATCCATTCGTTGAAAAGCATCTTAATAAATTAGTTGGAGGTGATATTTGCGAAAAAGCTATCGCACTTGCAACCAAAGCGAATTGTATTCCAAAGGTATCGTTTCAAAAATTAGACATACTCAATAACGATGAATGTAAAAATCATTCTGATGGGTATAATAAAATATATTCTTTTTATTGTTTTCATTTAATACACGAATCAGATATGTAAGTATTTTTTATATCGTTTTATTTTCTTTGAATTACAATAAATTAATTTAAGATGGGCAAATAACGTCTTTAAAATGTTAAAACCCAACGGACAATTATTTGTTTCGATTGTTGCAAGTTTTCCAAATTTCATCAACAAATGTCAACTTGCTCAGCAAAGGGAATTTTGGAAACCTTGGTCCAAATATATTCAAAATTTACCATGTTATTTTGTAGATTATGGTCCAAAACCAACAGAAACAGTAACTAATATTCTGAGAAAAGCTGGGTTTCTTATCAACAAAATTGATTTGCATACGGTTACGTTTCCATACAAAAATAAAGAAGATATAAGAAGTAAGTAGATTTGTAATGAAGGTTAACATTGGTTTTATAACAATTTTTTACAGATGTGTTTATAAGCGCTAACCCTTTCTTAAAATATATCCCAGATGAAATGCAAGAAACCTATCTGGATGATTATACGAGTAAACTTTTACAAGAACTAAGCTTTGAAAATGGAATATATTCGTTTCGATTTGATATAATTACGGTATTAGCTACAAAAAATGGTTTGAGTGTTTAATAAAAACAGCTGTTAAATACTATAAAAACAGTCGGATCTTTTATTTTAACGTTCGTTACAAATTTATAATTTACAATTAACAATGGTAGTTAACCAACAAGTAACTTCACTCGAAGTAATACTAACCTAAAACTTATTACATTCAATAAAATCAGATAAAATCGATAATACAGGATGGTCCATTTAACGTGAGATAAGCGATTATCTCTAAAACGGGTCATTTTACATAAAAATAAACCAAATGAAAGTTGTTCTGTGCGAAGGGGGAAACCATATGACGATAACATTTTTTGATCTTGACCTTATTTTCATGGTTATAATATGAAGGTCACGACCAATTTTTTAAATGGCAGCCTATATATTTTATTGTTAAATCTGAAGCTGTAGATAAAAGTAAAGTAATTAAAAAAAAAATAAAAAAAATGTATTGTGTGGTTTTGCCAGTACAACGGCAAAACATCTTTTGAAAAAAATTGAAACTTTTTCAGAAACAATTAACTAACGTTTATAATCTAGCAAGAACAAATAAGATTTATGAATTTTTAAACATTTTCCTACCCGCTTCGATACATTGTCTTTAGTTCTTAATTCTTAGAATACTATTTAAGAATGCTCAACAAAAAAAATCCAGAAGAGATACATACATCGGGTGACCTGGCTCGTCGGAAATACCTTTGCAAAGAGGTCTAAAAGGTTCCGACATTTCCCCGCCTTTGTCAATTTGATGATAGAATTACGCATAAAAAACAAGCGTTCGTGAAACTGCTTATGTCGGCATTTTCAGAATATCGCTTTCAGAGACTTAATTGGTTGAATTGTTTTAAAATGTAACAGGTAAAACTAAATTTGCATAAAAATTGCTTGGCAACAAATTCTGAATTCATTCCATCGTTTTACATTAAAGCAAAGTGTTTCAACTAAGACATTAAATCATGGATACTCCAAGTGTGGCAGGAAAAGACGAAATGATTTTTATTTATGGAGAAAGTATCAGAAAAATTGCTGATATCGAGAACGTCTTCCTGATCGAAATACGCCTTCGTGAAGTACCTCTTACAGAGTTGTGAATGATTTCACTAACACTGGAAATGTGGCATCAAGAAAAAGAACTCGGCGAGTAACTGTAACTACAGAAGAAAAGGAAATTGCGGTATTAGTTAGCGTTGAGGTAAATCCTCAAGTTAGCAGTCGACGATTTGCAATTGACGCCGGAATATTTCGAAATACCTAGGTCGCAACAAGACCTATTTTTTAGGAAATGAAAAATAGCAAGTTTATACTATTTTGAAATCTTGACTAAACAGGCCATCTTTTAAAACAACTTGCCAAGGGCGTTGTACTACTTCTTTTTTTAGAAATCGTGTGTCAAACTTAATAGACATAAATTCTTTCAACCGTAACTCAATCAACTATTTTTTTTTGCATCATTAACGACTTTTGTTGTTTGATTTGTAATTGCTATAAATAGCATGGGTCATAAGGAATACATTATTAAAATAATCACAACTAAATTGTGAACATTTCTGACCGTGGTACCTAAAGATATGATGTATGGGAACGATTTTTAACATTTTTAAAAATATCTATTACCACTTAATTAAGAGACATGCAATTTTTTTCTTATTTTTACCAGAACAGATGTGGGTTGGCCTCTCACCCGGTGTCCACTTGACGTAGAGTTTCGGGACAACCTGTATATACTGTAATATCCCCGTTATCACATCATAATAACAATTTATCTTACAAATGTTAGCCCTTTATACTCTTTAAATTGTTGTGCAATAAAGTTTTAGTTGCTTATAAGTATAACAGTCTATTATTCTTTTCCTTTACCCACTTACTCCTTCCCGTGATACTGATACACCAACCCCGTGGACAACGTATACTAATCCTTCATAACCAGCTCAATCCCTATCCTATCTAAAACCCTTCTACCTTCCTCTCTCCTAGTCTTCCAAACCCCCTCCCTACATTGCACCCTTCTGGGTTCGGCACACTCCCATAAAATATGTCGGAGCGTATCCTCCCTCTCGCCACACACGCATAACCCATTCACATCCTTTAAATCAAACCTCTTCAGATGTGTAACTATTAAACGGACCCTGCCCGCTCAGTAGCTGAATGCCCTTTGCTGACATGGTCGTTTTACCCATCCATTCATTCTCCAAAAATCCATAGATGTTTCTATCCTCGACGCCTTCCACAGCTCCCTTCATTCCTCCCTTAGATTCTCCCGTTATTCCCTCCTATATAGTCCACTATACCCATACTAATTCAATCATTAAAGTTAAATTATTACGAAAAGTTGGCATTGCAGGTTATTAAAAACGGGGGAAAGATGTGGAAGTTGTCCGAATCTATATTAAACAAGGAAAAACGTTGTGAGTCACCTGCACAATTAACTGTGTCTGGTCAAAAGCTTTTGGCTGATAGTGATATTGCCAATGCATTCAATGACCATTTTCTCAATGTACACAACATTAATACTATGGTTCAAACCTATCCAGAATTCGATATCACATCAATTGTTCCGCGTAACAGCCACTCGATTTTTATTACTCCAACATCTAAGAACGAAGTAGAAAGGGTAATCAATAACTTAAAAAATAAGTTAAGTTCTGGGCATGATACTCTGAGCGCAACCGTTTTAAAAAAGATAGCACATGAAATTTCTGAACCACTTAGTATTGTTTATAACAGGATAATAGATGAGGGGCACTTTCCTCGTAGTCTTAAAAAATCAGTTGTCAAACCTTTATTTAAAAAAGGGTCCGCAGAGGATGTAAACAATTATCGTCCGATCTCACTCATTACCAGCTTCGCAAAAATTTTAGAGAAAATAATTTACGTGAGGTTAAATGACTTTTTAGAGAAGCATAAAATTTTATCTGATTTTCAATTTGGTTTTAGAAAGGGGANCAATCATTAAAGTTAAATTATTACGAAAAGTTGGCATTGCAGGTTAATAAAAACGGGGGAAAGATGTGGAAGTTGTCCGAATCTATATTAAACAAGGAAAAACGTTGTGAGTCACCTGCACAATTAACTGTGTCTGGTCAAAAGCTTTTGGCTGATAGTGATATTGCCAATGCATTCAATGACCATTTTCTCAATGTACACAACATTAATACTATGGTTCAAACCTATCCAGAATTCGATATCACATCAATTGTTCCGCGTAACAGCCACTCGATTTTTATTACTCCAACATCTAAGAACGAAGTAGAAAGGGTAATCAATAACTTAAAAAATAAGTTAAGTTCTGGGCATGATACTCTGAGCGCAACCGTTTTAAAAAAGATAGCACATGAAATTTCTGAACCACTTAGTATTGTTTATAACAGGATAATAGATGAGGGGCACTTTCCTCGTAGTCTTAAAAAATCAGTTGTCAAACCTTTATTTAAAAAAGGGTCCGCAGAGGATGTAAACAATTATCGTCCGATCTCACTCATTACCAGCTTCGCAAAAATTTTAGAGAAAATAATTTACGTGAGGTTAAATGACTTTTTAGAGAAGCATAAAATTTTATCTGATTTTCAATTTGGTTTTAGAAAGGGGAGGGGTGCCTCTGATGCTATAGCCGAGCTAACAGTGATGATCTACGAATCATTAGATAATTCTAAGCATGCTATGGCAATATTTTTAGACTTAAGAAAGGCATTTGATTCTGTGGATCATGCTCTATTACTTGACAAATTGGAGCACTACGGTGTGAGGGGGTTACCCCTCAAGCTGTTCCAATCTTACCTGCGAGAACGAGAACAGGTGGTTCAGATAAATTCTATGAAGAGTTCTCCATTAGAAATGTCTTGCGGAGTACCACAAGGCACAGTCCTCGGACCCATTTTATTTCTGCTGTACATAAATGATTTGTTGGCGTTACCTTTATAGGGGAAAATGGTTTCTTTTGCGGATGATACTGCATTTTACTTTGATGGAACGGACTGGGGGCAGGTGGAACGAGCGGGTGTGGTTGATATGATTAAGATTTCGCGTTGGCTTTACACAAATCGTTTGACTATGAACTACGAGAAAACTCATTTTCTAACTTTTTCTACCTATCAAAACACACAACCAACAAATATAGAATACCTTACAATACATGACGCTACCTGTACCTGCTCGTCTCCGACCTGTAGGTGTCCAAAAATATCTGAAACCTATTCAGTAAAGTATCTTGGCGTAATAATGGACCAATTCATGAGGTGGGATAAACATGTGACCAGTACATGTAAATGATTAAGATCAGTACTATTTCTATTAAAAAAATTAGCACCACATGTCACTCCATCTTTTCTAAGAACTTATTATTATGCAATGGCGGAATCTATTATCCGTTACGGTCTTATTGCATGGGGTGGGACTGCGAATATTCATTTAGAAAAAATTATAGTCATGCAGAAGTTGATAGTAAAAGCCATGCTAAGTGTACCTAAAAATTATCCCACTGAGGCAGTTTACGAGGCTTCACAACTGCTATCTGTTCCTCTATTATATATAAGTCTTGTCTTGGATAGGATATTTGGCGGTAAAGAGTTGCTGAGCGATATGGATCATGCACAGAATACTAGATTTAAAAATTACATGTCTGTGCGGTTGACTCGTGTGCGTAAAACAGTCGGACAGCGATCCTTTAGGTATTTTTCCCCTAAAATATATAATAAGTTTATGAGATATGCACTTGAAAATGGTTTGTCATTGGGTCCAACCAACCTTAAATCTTCAATCAGAGCATGGCTTCAAACTATTATGGGCACAAACCTCTCAGCCATTTTGGATTTAACTTGATTTGAGTGATTTTTTGTTTTCCATATATACAGGGTGTTCCGGTGACTCGGGGAACAAAATTAACCTCATATACTAGAGTAAAAATGATGACGATTGGTGAAAAAAAAATTATTATAAAAGTCTTCAAATGGCAAAGATATGGGCCATCAAAGTTCAAAAATTTTAACACATTTTTCTAAATATTTTCAATACCGTTTATGGTAGAGCGTTGAAATTTGGTACAGGGTAAACAAATATCAAGCAAAATCATTGAACCAATTTTGACTTTGATCGGGCGGCGGCAACCATGCTATACAGGGAGTCCCTAAAATTTGTTTGCTCAGAACTTTTTTGTTCGATCGTAACCCTACATTTATTTTTGCAGTTTCTAATAGAAAATTTATTTTAGAAGCTTTTATCACTCTTAGATAATATTGATAAAAATCACCGTTTTCGTGTTAAATGCAAAAATGGTAGGCTCCCATTTCAATAACACTAAAAAAAAAGTCTAAGTCTGCCATGACAATTAACAAACGAATTCATTGACAGTTGTAAACACGCTTAGTCGTTTAAACAAATACTAAAAACCTTGTAGTGTTCGAAATGGAAAATTACACGTTTGGAGAACAAACCGATATGCTTTTAACATTGGGTGAATGTCTTGGAAATTCCGTAGCAGCCGCTAACCGTTATCGGCAAAAATTCCCGAATCGTAGAACCCCCAACAGAAAAACGTTTTCTCGAATTGAAGCCCGATTAAGAGAAAATGGATCACTAAAACATATCTTTCTGTACAACGGCAACCCTAGATCTGTTCGAACTCCTCAATTGGAAGAGTTAATTTTAGAACATGCAGAAGAAAATAGTACCACTAGTACTTCGGACATGGCTAGGCGATTTTGGACGTCAAAAACGACTTTGTGGCGTATTCTTCGAGAGCAGCAGCTTTACCCATTTCACTGCTGGAAGGTTCAGGAAGTACAGCTTACCGATTATCCAATTAGATTGGAATATTGTCAGAAAATACAACAGAAAATACAAATTGATAATCAGTTTTTAGAAAAAATACTTTTCACCGATGAATCTACTTTTTCCAAAGATGGAATAATTAATTTAAAGAATTTACATAGTTGGGCTGAAGAAAATCCAAAATTTTTCAAAACTTGGAAATCTCAATGGAGATTTTCTCTCAATGTTTGGGCAGGGATTGTTGGTCCCGTTTTCTTGCCGTCAAGACTTGATGGCCCTACATACCATCAACATTTGGAAGGATTGGACGAGTTCTTAGGTGACGTTCCGTTAAATACCAGAAGGGACATGTGGTATTTACATGATGGTGCCCCTGCGCACAGCACAAATGCAGTGAAGGAATTTCTAGGGAACCGTTTCCCGGGACGGTGGATCGGACGAGGAGCGGAAGCATCGATAACTTGGCCGGCCCGGTCACCAGACCTTACACCTATGGACTTTTATTTATGGGGGCGAGTTAAATCATTGGTCTACAGCGTTGAAATTAGATCAGTCGATCAGCTCAGGCTACGAATCGTCGATTCATTCGACCAAATTCGAACGGAGATAAATGTACTGCCTAGAGTACGATTTAATTTAAGGCGACGATATCAGGCATGTATTGATGCTAACGGAGGTCTTTTTGAACATTTCCTAGAGTATTTTTTATTACTTGTCTTGTTATTTTATGTATTTGTTTTATTTTTCCTGTTAGCGTTGTCGTTAAAATTAAATTTATTGTTTTGTATTATCTTTTATTAAATCAACTAAAACAAATTAAAAAGGGATTTACCTTGGAAATGTTACATACATAATATTTATGACGGCTCAGTTCGATTTTCACTTGTCATGGCCGACTTAGATTTTCTTTTTTTTTGTGTTATTGAAATCGGAATCTAACATTTTTGCATTTAACACGAAAACGGTGATTTTTATCAATATTATCTAAGAGTAATAAAAGTTTCTAAAATACATTTTCTATTAGAATCTGTAAAAATAAATGTAGGGTTACGATCGAATAAAAAAGTTCTGAGCAAACAAATTTTAAGAACATCTGTATAGCATTGTTCCCGCGGACCGATCCAATTTATAAATTGCCCAATGGTTTTACGTGATATTAGTTTATACTGTACCAAATTTCAGCACATTCCCATAAATAGTGTTTAAGATATTTAGAAAAATGTGTTAAAATTCCATAACTTTGATGGCTGGTATCTTCGAAATTTGAGGAGTTTTACTAATTTTTTTTACATGAATCGTCATCATTTTCACTCTAATATATGTGGTTAAATTTATTCCCCGAGTCACCGAAACACCCTGTATATATATATAGATATATATACGTATTTATGTTTCTTAATTGATAAAATATAAAAATATTATCATTTTGGTTTTGTTTTTCTAAAGTATTTAAACTATTTAATTAATCAGTGCGTGCTGGCGTTGTAAATTGTAAAACCACGCGCAACACTGCTATACAGCAGAGTTAGTGGTGTATATCTTGTGCACTCAACATGCCAGTCTAATTTATTATATTTAATGGTAAAAGTTTTGTTTTACTTTTTTTTTTTGTTTTCTTCATTTTTATTTTCTTCGTTTTTGCTTTGAGTTGCATGAGATGCTCCTTTTGTTGTATTAGTGTAAAATATAAAATGTAAAATGTAGAAATAAAGGGCTATAATAATATACATACTCTCTTAACTTTACATACCTCCCTAAAACCACAATCCTCCTCTCGGCCCGTCCCCCTTCCTCCTATCCTTGTATCCTTCGCATACCTCGCATACCGCTCGCATACCCCATATTTCCGAATCATACAACAATCCAGGCAATATCACTCTTTCAACTACCACTTTTCTCACGTCCATACTCACTCCCCATTCCTTCCCCGCAATCACCGCCAACCTACCCATTATTCCCGCAATCTTTCCTCACACATACCGCACATGCTCTATGAAGAGCAGTGCCGAATCCACCATCATTCCGAAGTATTTCAATACACTCCCCATTCTCACCACACCGGCGTCCGTCTTCAGCACCGGACTTCTAATCTTCTTTTTTGAAAAGAATATTCCCTTTAGCTTATTCCCCGCGTAGTCCACCTTACACTCTTCCGCCCATTCTATACATGCATCCCATACTGCCTTCCATCTCTTCTCTATTTTCTTCACTGATACGTCGCCGATCAGAACGATCTGGTCGTCGGTGGTGTACCAGATCGCTCTCCCCATTAAGACATCTTGTGACCTTTTCAAACCATCCGTTCATCCCGCAAATCCACAGCACCGGTCCCAAACTCGAACCCTGTGGACAACCTCTACTCGCCAACCACACTGTGGACTCACAACGCAGAATCCTAAAAAATTCTCAATCGCACATACCAAATACCTTGGAACTTCCATTCTCATCAATCCTTTCAAAATACCAGATACCAGACATGGTAGCGATTGCGTTGACAATATCCAACGGCACCTCCACACCATGTTACCCATTCTCCTTGTACCTAATCATCCCGTTTACGAAACCATCCAACGCCTGGATTGTTCCCCTTCCTTTCCTGGATCCGTAGTGCTTTTCGTCCAGCCTCCCATTCTTCTCTACGAACTTCAGCAACCTCTCCGCTAGAACCCTGTCCAGTACCTTACCCAAGACCGATGCGAGGCTTTAGTGATAGTGAAAAATAGAGAATAACTGTATTTCCACCATGAGAAACGTTGCTGCCCCATTGAGTGGGTAATTTAAAAGAGTAGATCTTTAGTGACCGATGCGAAATTTTATTACAATTAGTATATTATTCCACACCTGCGATACGCTTTAAAAGTAAGCTTTGAAAGTTTCACTTCAATAATCAATGTCAAACTATACTTCATCTTGACGTTTAGAGTTTTTCCGGGGCCGCAAAATTTACAATTTCAACTAAAAAAATTTCGAACATGTATGATTATCCGACCTTTCAAGGTTCTTTCGAGCAACAAAGAGGCTCGTCTTTTACCAATCCGAGCCAAATCCAAAACCAATGGAACGCCACTCAAAGAGGTCCACCGCCAAATCCAGCTAAATTACCTCGAGAAATCACGGATGAACTTGCCCAAAGATTCACGATGAGACAAAAAGCACTCACAGAATGTAAAACAGGACCAAGCATTGAAGTAATTAAGCGGAAATTCGAAGTTGAAACTCCGCAACCAAAACCGAAAAGTACACTTCCAAAAGGTACTTCCAGTGTAGTAAGCTTTAAGAAGTCTAGTCATGGTATAAATAACAGTTTGGAGGAGTCTTATTGGGCACAGTGGAAGCCAACAAGTAGTTCTTTCGCCACAAATGTCGTTAAAGAGGAATCTTTTGGTAAAGGCAGAACGCATTTTACCGTTAATTCGGTTTCGAATCGATGCAACGTGGATTCTTTAACTTTGTGTGAAGGAAAGAAGTTAATGGAAGAAAAATCTCTTAAAGTTATAAGAAAACCTATGGTTATAGTGGAAAGTAATTCAAGTGAAGGTGATAAACACATACAAGGAAAGCTTTTTCTTTGTAATCCTTGCGATAATCCGGTTAACCAAAATAATTCCCAATGTTATCAAAACTATCAACAACCTTACCCTACGTTTACAGCAAGCATGCCAAATTACCATAGTATTTTTTATTATGGACCAAGCGATCACAATTATCATGAAAGAGTGAAACCTTGTAAAAGAAAAGAATCTAATAAGCGGTGTGTTAAACCACGAAATAATCCCGATAATTACCAAAAAGATAACCAAATTAATAATCAAAGAGATGAACATAAGAAGCGCCCAAAAAGCGGGATTGAGAAGAAAGAAGAAATATCTAAAAAGAAAGCAGTAAAGTGTAAATTGTCCAAATCAAACGAAGAAATGTGTAAAAACCATGTCAGATTCTGTACAAAATACCATGGAGATCCCAATGACGACTCAGAATCTTGTTGTTCACGAAGAGATTCTACAAGAACTATTGAAGGTTATCACGGTGATGTTGATACAGAAAGCCAGGTGGACACACGAAAATATGATGATTGTCATAGCTACGAAGATCAAGAGGATACACAAGAATCCCAAGAATTTCATGATAACGAAGACTACCCATGTTATTGCCACTGTTGCAATAAAAGTTATTGGATGGATGATTATAATTACTCTCAAAGTGATAACGTCAGTGAAAACTCTTATTTATATAACCAATATAATTACCAAGTCTGCAGATACCAAGAAGAATCTAATTATCCTAGCAATCATCCTAACAATCATCCTAACAATCACTATTCAACCAGAGATAAAAACGAATCAAATTCAAGTTTTTACTGCAATCAATTTAAAGATTCTAGTTATAGTTCTACTTCAAGAATAACCTCATCAAATCCACAGATTAGAAAGAGGCAGATAGAAAGGAGTTGTTCAACACAATCACCTGTTTCAAGAATAGCTTGCGCTTGTAATACCGAACCGAAAGTCTGCTCCAACAAAGCTTGCGAAACACTGGAAAATGCAATCAAAGAGAAAAAGATAGGGGATGATATGGTAGGGGGGTTGAAAGTAATTAAGGAAAAACCAGAAACGCTCCTTGTGAGTAGTTCGAGCAGATCCGACGAATATGAGCAACGACATGATGATGGTTGTAAATGTTGTAGTGATGCCCCTTGTAGGCAAAGTTCAACCGGAACGACAACCACTTCGACTCGTCCTTGTAAATCATCATCACCCTCTTCAAAAGACACGCTCGCTGTCGCTGTCGGTTCCAGTAGAGATAATATACAGGACGAAGGGAGTTTTGTTATGGACGACGGAATAAACCATCGGGGCAAAGAGAAAAGAAGATATCAATCAATACAGAAATGTTCGCATCATTGTGTTTCTTCTGGCACATCCACCGAACCCGTTTCAAATGAAACTGCTAATATTGCAGTAGAAAGGGGTGTTGTTGATTCTAGAGAATGTTTTAAAGAAAAATCACAGTCAGAAAAACATGTAAAAGGCGATGAATCAAAAATAACACCTACACCTAGGACACAATGCATCAGAAAAGGTACTGATTCGGAGAACTTTTCAAAAGGAAAAACTTCGGCAGGTGCTACTTTATATAAAGCTGAAAAATGCCAAACTGCAAATTCTCGTCCAACCTCAGCCACCCAATCAAGAACTAATGAATCTATTAAACCAGAATTAGTAAATGTGAAATCGGGAAATAGTTACAACAACAATTCCAAATCTGGATCAACACAAGTTAGTGATATTAACAGAAAAAACACTCCTGTTGGTACAACAACAGATAGAGATAGTACTTTAGGCGCCCGTCATTCTAGATCTAGTAATTCTCAACAACAAACTGTAAGATCAATTAATAATCCTAGTATCGCCACAAACGTTTCTAATAGATCACCGTCTTTAAATAATCGAGACAATTCAAGATCTCCTCGTCTCGAAGCTGTTCAAACAAATTCTTCAAGACCAGGATCTGCCGGAGCCCAATCACGATTAAATTCTGGAGCTAGTCCACCTACATCTATACGAGGAAGGTCGCCCAATCCCAGTGGTGCACAACCTAATAACAATAACCCAGTAAATACTCGTCCAGGAGTTAGACCTGCATCGACTAGTCCGATCAATGCATCGCGTCCTAATTCGAGTGTTCCTCATTCTGTGATTAATTCACCAGAAAGTTCTAAAATGGGACCAGTTAATCGTGAAATTCATCCGGAAACACAACAGTTTATCGCTGACTCGACTCAAACCGGTCTTTCCAACATTTCTCCCACAAATAAACTGGGGTCTACTTACACTGTAATGAATCAAAGAGGGTATGTTACTAATAATCCAACAAGAACTCCTCCTTCGGCTAATTCGGGAACAATTCCATCAATTACAAACGATTCAACTTATATGATGAATTCCGCTTTACCTGAAATAATTTACAGTGGAGATTTGAATAGATCAATTAGTCGTGGAGGGAATATTCCACATGGAGCAAGTGATGGCAAATATATCGTAGAAAAACATATTCCAATACAAAATTCCTACAATGAGTCGCTTAATTCTGAAAATCAAGCTGCTGGAAGACCTCTTTCGGCGTACATTCCAGGAATACACACAACATATCCCATTAGTGTGGAAGCATCTAAAGACCCCAATTTAAGACATGCTCCAAATAATGATGGATTGCGTCACTTTAACCCACACGAGTAAGTTTAAGGATTACACCAGGAATTTATTATGAAAATTATGTTTTAGGAACCAAGTAGTTTATTGTGTTGATACGAATCAACCAGATCTTAAGCCACACTTACCCGAAGTCCGAAGGGATGATAGACATTATAGAGAATCATACGGAGTATTTCCAAGCGAGTAAGAACAAAATTAATTTGTTTTATTAATCAAATTGCAATGAAATAATTAATTTATAGATCAAAAAACTTAGGATACGTCACAACGCCAAAATCATTGATTCTCCAACGAAATTCAAGGTATATGCCACTAAAAGGGCATACGTACACCTTAAAACCTCCAAGTAATAGTTGTTCTCGATCTTGGAGAAGCCCGAAAAGAAAACGTTAAATAAGAAATATCGCAAAAAAATTTAAATTTGTCTTTAGTTGATTTAAAAATAAAGTCACGTGTCTTTTTATGAAAAAATAGTTTTAATTACACCTACAATTATTTAACTAATTGTTATTCAATGTTAAGTCTAAGTTTAGGATAACTTATGGTTTAATATTGTAAATCCATTGAGGTAGAAAACCTCAAATTCAGAATAAATATGGTACAACATCATGGTATGATCAAGGTAACATTAAGGATGGATGATAGAAGTTAAGAGGACTGCACATTCTCCACTACGTCTTATTATTTTTCCAACTAAAATACGCTGGAATTAAAGACATTACTTTGTTATACCGAATTTGTCACGAAATATGGGAAACTGGTAAATGGCCAGAAGAATGGACGAAGTCTATACATTGTACAAGAAAGCGCCAAAAGTTGAATGCAGTAACTATAGAACTATTATTCTAATAAATCACGCTAGCAAAATATTAGCGTTTCCCCAATATAGCCCCATACCAAATAAACTTTGTGTCGGGACGAGGATCAAATTTTAAGTCCAACATAGCTGATTGAAAAGCTTTTACACGAATCGTGCAAGTAAGCCTGGAGTGCGGACTGCCACTGAATAGAGATCTAAATGTCACGTGATGGGCATGGCTGTCGTCACATTATATTTCAATCCTATTCTTCAAGACTTTGCCATACATCCTCCTCACTCTACTAGTAACACTTAAGCCTCGATAATTTCGGCAGTCTTTTATTTCCTTTTTTGAAGATTCAGCTGATATAAGTTAAGTTCCAATCTTCTGGAATATTATCTGCTTCCTATATACACCTGCTGAAGAGTGTTGCAAAAAATTTGTATAATACCTATTGGAAATAATTCACGAGCACACCCTGTATAATCTGAACGCGTGTGTCTAGCGCAATAAAATTTGGTATGGAAGTAGTACTAAAGTAGTGTAACTTACTCTTACATGGAGAGCGGCACAACTCTGCTGGGAGGAGAAACATCAATAGCGAGAGTATCCCCCGTGAGCTTCGCGTACCATCGCTACACGACGTGGTATGGAGTCTATGTCGCTGTATTGTAGCAAGAGGGATGGCTAACCATGCCACCTCAACTCGTCCCCATAGCTCCTCAACGTTAGCCGAGGAAGCCGGATAACGTAGAAGTCTCCGACCAGTCATTTCCCAAACATGTTTGATCGGATTCCGATGCGGAAAGCGAGCTAGCCATGGAAGCATTCGTATACGGTGCTCTTCCACAAAGGTTTGTACAACACGCCCGATGTGCTGTCGTACGTTGTCGTGCATGTATAGCAGACCTGGGAGCCGCCGAACGTAGGGAAGCACAACGGACCGTAGCACCTCATCTACGTATCGTTGACCCGTCATGGTCTGCTATACACGCAGCAGACGTGTACGTCCACAATGTGTAATAGCACCCCAAAACATAATGCTCGGTTGTCGGTGGATAGGGCATTCTTGCACACACTGCTCGAGTAGACGATCACCACGTCTCCAACGAACTAAAATTCGCGCATCACCGGTGCTCAATTCGAATCTTGATTCGTCGGAAAACAAAATGTCCCTCTACTCGGCAACCCACTAATGCCTAGCGTTGACCCGCTCGTGACGTATGCTGCGGTGCTCGGATATTACTGGAATCCGCTGATTCGCACGATGCACGCGCAGTCCTCTATCTACCAAACACCGCCGTACAGTTCTCGTAGTGAGTGCGCCTTCTTCTGCCGGTGGCCAAACAGCTCTAAGTTGCCTTGAGGAGGACTCACACGACGCTAAAGCGCTGACTACAAGAGCGCGATCCTCGTGTGCTGAGGTCACGCAGGGCCCTCCCGGCCGCGGCTGAAGGTACCTATGTCCTACCTCAGACCATTCTCGCCATGCCCGTTGCACTGCCGATAACGACCGGTCGAGACGACGCGCAATTTCACGGAATGATACACCCTTAATGTGCATACCCTCAAACATTCCTCTCTCAAACTCGCTTAAGTAACGCGATCGCCCATGCATTGCGCACAGAGTACGATAACAATGTGGTTCCTCACACCACACTAAAAACGACCGGTATTTTCCATCCACTTCGGTCTCCATAGCGACGGAATGTTCCACTTGGAAGAGCGGCTCAGTCAACAATGCCGCGACGGAACAACTCGAAACTCGATTACAGTAAACCTTTGTGCTCCTCAAATATCATGGATTTATCTTCACGCGTTCAGATTATATAGAGTGTGCTCGTGAATTATGTCCAACAGTGTATTTTGCGTGATTCTAATTTAGTAGTGTTTCATAGTCCCTCCCAATCATAGTTTGTTTCGCTTTAAATTGGCAATAACTATTGATACCAACTATATTATCACTAATATAATAATCTCAATGATCCTACAAAAATCAGTTACTATTCACACCCTGTTGCATATTTGCAGCTGAGTTTGCCGAATTTCTAAAATGAAACAAATAAAAAAAATCGCTGAAACACATAACTAACATTTTATGTAAAAATCTTAAACGGAAAAAGGCATCGAGTAACATCTCATTTTAAAGGTCTTTTAAAACACTACACTTTAGAGTTTAGGTTTTTCAAATTGATCCATATGTTTTCTAGAAGTTCCTCAATCTTCTTTAAGGAGTGAAATAAAACAAACTTTCAATAAACAAAAATTCTAGTAGCGTCAAATCAGGTTATTTACCTGACCATTCTTTAGATCATCGTCGTCCCATCCATTTGTCCTGAATGGTCCATTTGTTCCATCCGTCCTATTTGGAAATACATTGTCTAGGTCCAAGATGTTCAAATGTAATTCATCATTATCAAGTAAGATATTTCCTTCTCTATCTAATCGATTTTCGACAGCATCAGTAATTTGTGAATTGATAGTATTTTCCTACATACCCAAATATGCTTCGCCATTTAGATTTTCATTGAAAAACAATGGGCCAATCAGTTAGTCCCCGAAGATAGTTGTACATATATTGATTTCTTCAGAATGCTGAGTGTGTCCTTCTACAGTCAAATATATGGAATTGTGAGGAATTTTATAAAAAGTGCAGTTGGAACGGATGAAAATAATTATGTACCCACTATAATATGGTAAAAATCCTGATAATTTTTTGAAAGTGGTTACAGAAACAATTAAATCAAACCAGATAAGTTAAGGATTTGATTTCTATGCTACAATTCTTAATTTTCATCAGTTGCAGTTCTCAATTATTTTGTTTTGCCATGGAACAGAACCCCTATTAGTAATAAAGTAGTTGTTGCTGATCAATTATTTTGTTACATTTAGTAAACCTTTAGGATCTTCTTGACCTCTTCATGATCCTGCCGTAATCGAACTTTTGTTTGAATTCTACTTTATTCAAAGATATAAGATTGAGTTTTCATTACTCCAAAAAGATTTTCAAGCGAGAATTTCTGAATAAGGTTTTAATAAATTTGCACGTAGTGGAAAGGCATCGTCTACTACGAAAATAGCATTCTATGGTAAATTTTGCGCGTTTGCAGTAAGGTATTCATTCCATAATGGTTGATTGATTGCTAAAAAACTGTAATAGAAATAATGTTAGTACAATCAGTTATTCTAATTGTAAGTATAAATTTTGCAGAATATTGCAAATCACACCCGACAAGCTTACTAAAAAAAACAAACTTAAAAATCTTACTGGACTTATAAGTTTTTCTTAACAATATACATGGACTTATGAATGTTTGTTTGATACTTCCTTATATTAATATTATGTACTCAAGAACAACCATACATGTCATGTGATGAACAAAGTACTTAAGAAACAATAATACACTGGCAACTATTTTAGTTAAATGTGGCGTTTCGTAATGGTACATAATAATACCATTGCGAAATTGTGTACGGCTTCAGATCTGCATCTGACTAAGCATATGAATAATGGTTGTAATATTTGGTGATATATTAAGAGTTTGTAAAGAGTTTAGAAATGCTGAAGCTACCTCAATACTGCCTCTACCGGTTTAACTTTCAGCCTAAGAATAAAAAATTGCTTTTCTTCAATCCAAACCTGCTACATCAAACGTGTAATAACTGATTTGCCTTAAATAAAATGAGTCCAAAAGTTTCTTCCACGGATCCTTTTCCTTGGCAATGGGGAGTTGAACCATTATTGAACTCTCTTGAAGATACTGTATTTAAGCTAGATATTGAAACCACTTTCAATTTAACAGATGACTGATAATGCTTGTGGACTTTTTTCTATGTTTAAATTACTGTTAAGATAGATTATTTGTGTTTTTTATCTATTACAATGACTTTCCACACTTTTAAATTTTTTCTAAAAAAAACAGATTTTTTGAAACAACTAAGATTTAGACAACAGAAATTGAATACCCCTTTATTACAGGAATCTGTAAAAAGAACAATTTCTACCCTTGTTTGTAGATATACATAGTTATCCAACCGGTCGAGTTGGGTTGTTCTAGCTCGTGCTGCCTCTAACGACAAACGAGAAAAACATTATTTATGAATGACTTGAATAAAATTGGAAATCCAACTTGTAGTAGATGTTGCATACTCAGAATAACATAATATAATAGTATATCTATAAACAAGGATTTGTACTTACTTTGATCCAAAAAAAAATGATACAGAAAATTACAAAGCAAAACTCTGTTTAAAAATAAAAAGGTTCTAATCTTTCAACTCTTTTCCTGGAACTTCTTGAAGTCGTACAACTTATAATTTTTTCTTCATGACTTATTGAAGTTTGCTTCAAATCCAGGTTGTCGCTCAAAATCACTATAAAGATTTAAATTCACCTTTTACGTGAATGCTACACATTTGTTCGTACATCTTTTGATTTATTAATTCGTTATTTATTCATTTTTAATATACAGGTGCCCATTATGTATGGAATATAGTATACAGGATGTCTCAGCGAGACCGGTCATTAGACGTTTCTGGGGTTCTGGCCAAAATAAAAATTTGAGAATTCAGACATAAGTATTATCAATTACGTTCTCTTCGTCTAAAATATTTTCAGATTTCTAGCACTTCCGTTTATACCGGAAGTTGCCACCTACTTTATTTTTTTAAATGGAACATCCTGTATATTTTTACATATTTGGATTTTTCTGTTTTGAAGGTTGATAAATAAGTATACTTTTTGCAATTTGATTCTTCCGTTCTCGAGTTATTCGAATTTTTCTAGAAAAATCTGCTCCAGTGGACATTTGTTCATAAAATCATAAAACACTCGATTTTTGAGATATCAGTTTAGGATTCAGAACATGTTTAAACAACATGATGGAGTATGTTTTGGTGCCGAGAATGGCTGTCTAGAACGTTTGGTCACTTTCCTATGGCACATTAACTTTTCGAAATTTGGAAGTACCATAACTTAATTTTTTTAAATGGTACCCCCCGTATTTTATTGCTTAGTCGTCTTCGGCGTCTCATTTTACATCTTTTATATCCCATATGTCCTATTCCTAACATTAATAGTTTGGGAGATAATTAGGGTTTTTTGAAAAATGCTCATATATCATATCGATATTAACCTAGTGTGCCATGGAAAACAAATGTTTAATGACTTATTGACAAACGTCAAAGTCTCATTTACGTTATTTAATGCTTGTGAGTCTAAAACCAGTTAAAATGGATATTAATAACGTAAATAATGTTTATACCTACAAATGAAAAAATCCATAATTTATTTTTTGTGCACGAAAAGTGCAACAAAGTTCTTAGTAGAACTTGCTTGAATGTTTAATGAAAATTATCCACATTTACCTCCGATGACAAAAGTTAAATTTAGAAGAATAGAAGCATTTTTTTTGCATTTTGGACGAATTAATCACGTGTTAAACTGAGCAAAAAATGTAGTAGATAATGCAACGGAAGAGGTGAATACCTTGGCTTATTTCGAGCCCAGTCCCAACACCTCAATTCGAGCTGCCAAAGAAGATCTGGGAATCATACTACGAACTTTATCCCGCTTTTTATGCACAAAAAATAAATTAAGAATTTCTTGATTTGAGTAAATATTACTTTCGTTATTGTTATCGATTTTAAGTCTTTTCAGAACTAATATTAAGGGACCTAACGGATAATTATTAGCTCATATGCATCAAGTGACGTACACAAGTGAGTCTTTGACAAGAACTCATTGAAAAGGCTTGTTTAACATTTAACGTGCCATAGTAAAGTGACCAAACGTTCTAGACAGCCGTTCTCGACACCAAAACATACTTCATCATGTTGCTTAAGCATGTTCTGAATCCTAAATATATATCCCAAAAATCGAGTGTTCTCTGATTTTTTGAACAAATGTCTGCTGGAGCAGATTTTTCTAGAAAAATTCGAATAACTCGAGAACGGCCGAATCAAATTGCAAAAAGTAATCTTATTTATCAACCTTGAAAACAGACAAATCCAAATATCTAAAAATATACAGGGTGTTCCACTTAAAAAAATAAAGTAGGTGGCGAATTCCGGTATAACCGGAAGTGCAAGAAATCTGAAAATATTTTATTAGAAGAGATCGTAATTGATAATGCTTAAGTCTGAATTCTCAAATTTTTATTTTCGCTAGAACCCCAGAAACGTCTAATGACCGGTCTCACTGAGACACCCTGTATATCTTGGTAGGTATCAACATTATAAAAAAACATTTTATACAAAAGTTGTTTAATATTTTATTTGCCATAATAAGACTGTATTCAATTGTTTCTAATTCAGACAACAAATGAGTAACGAATAACACTTGAATTTTTTTAAATGGCAACGTACCATTTCGTTAGGCTCATTTGATAGAGATTACATTTCTCTTTACGATGACGTAAAATTTTTGTACCATTACATCACAAAATTTTTGAAAAAAATGTAAAAATTTTTTATTAATAAAAATAAATCAATAACATTAATCTAGATATCCGAGATCGTCCAGTACCTTGAATTATTACCGTAAATTAAATTTACATACAAAATAAAACAAATAAACGAAAAATTAGTGTACAGTGTACATCTCCAATAATTCGAGGTACTTGACGATCTCGGATATCTAGATTAATGTTAGTAAAATTTTTAATCATTAGTTCAATTTTCTTAATAAACAATTTTTAATTTTTTAAAAAAAATTTTCTGATATAAGGATACTAAAATTTTACGTCATCGTAAAGAGAAAAAAATCTGTATCAAATGGGCCTAACGAAAGGGTACATTACCATTAAAAAAAAACTTCAAGTGTTATTCGTTGCTCATTTGTTTTCTGAAATAAAAACTATTGAATGCTGTCTTATTATGGCAAATAAGATATGAAACAACTTTTGTATAAAATATTTTTTTATAAAGTCGGTACCTAACGAGATACTTAATTCCATACATAATGGGCACCCTGTATTATCTATTGGTCGTAAAATTTAACTTTTCAAAATATTTATTTTTACGTTAACGTCAAATTATTAGTTATATTGTCAATCAAACTCAAAATTAAAATGATTTAACTTGAAAATATGTTCTCAAAATTATCAGTTTTTAAGCTCCCGAATGTGGTGGCAAAGATCTTCAAACGATCTCTTAACACCGGTGGTTATTGCGAATGGTCAATCGAAGAACCTCAACGTCCGATGACCGTATCCATCATAGGTGGTCACACGGGGGAAGGCGTCCTTGCAACTTTCCTCTTGAAACAAACTAAATTAGTCGACGAAATACGTTTATATTCTGGTTTGATCAGTCCGTGTGGACAAGGATATGATATGAGCCACATTGATACGAGTCCTCAAATCAAAGCATATACCGGCCAAAAATTTTTAAGGGATGTTATTACCGATGCTCATATTGTTTTGATATGCGGTGGTCATCCAAAGAAACCTTGTACAACTACGGAGGAATTATTTGAGAGTAACGCAGATTATGTTAGAAATATTGCCATGTATGTTGGAGAGTTTAATCCAAAAGCAATTGTTTGTATCTCTACTCCACCTGTCGGAGCATGTGTCCCTTTGGTAGCAGAGGTTTTAAAAAAGAATGCAGCATACGATCCAAGAAAAGTAATCGGAATTATGACGTTGGGTTCAATTAGAGCCACTTCGATTACAGCTAAATACACCAATAATAATCCAAGTGATGTTATTGTACCTGTTATTGGTGCTCTAAGTAGAGATACTTTAATTCCCGTTTTTTCACAAATTAGGCCAGAAATTCATATTGACGAAAAACTTTTACAATTATTAAGAGATAAAATCGCCTCCGCTGAAGATGAAGCTTTAGACTTGAAATACATCGAAAGCACTGGATCTTGCTTCCTTTCGAGTGCTTTTGCAACAGCAAGATTCACTGCTTCCGTTATTAAAGGGTTGAAAGGTGACGCTAACGTTGTCGAATGCGGTTTTGTTCGTCAATTAGGGCACATACAGGAATTTTTACCTTATATGGGATCTATTGTTAAACTAGGTAAGTATAAACTTATTGATACATTTCGCCTGTTAATATTCAGCATTTCATTCAGGTAAAGATGGTGTTGAACAATATTATATGCCCACGATAACTGATGATGAATGCAAACAACTTCAAAAAGCTTATCCTTTAATTAAATCTCAAATCGAAATGGGAGAGACTTTTGTCTTAGGTGCTCAAAGAAAAGCTCGAATAAACCTAAAATCCCCTCTGTATTGCCAAATGATTCGTAAGAAACCGATCACGATGATTGGGGATGTTAAAATCGATTTGAACGAATTGGATATTGATAAGAACGAGAGATGTATTGAAATAATTCGATAAATTATATAGAGACGTATTTTCAATAAAACAGTGCTAGTTATGTCTATGTACTTCTATTTATAACTTATTTTAATTCATAAACGAAGAGTTAATAATAACTAGGTACGTACATTTTTGATACTGTTTAACAAAACAATTTTTAAGAAAATAGTTGAGTTTCCTTCACACAGACTGCTGCGAATTTTCGGAACGAGCTGACGTTCGTCTCGATAGAAATTAAGGTTGTGATAAAAGAAAGAAGAAAAGCAAGAATATGGAATAAATCTAGAAACGCCGCATATAAAAGAAAATTCAACCGAATAAGCAACCAGGCAAGCTTACAAATCAAAAAATTTAATCAAAGGTTCGAAAAATATTTTAATGATTTATCCTTGTAGCAGCTAGAGACTACTCGCTATGGAAAGCAACTTGTAGATTCAGACAAACTGTTTGTGTGGCGCCGGTAAATGGGATAAAAACGGCCTAAAAAATGCCCAATCTAGCTGATGTATTTCAACCGAATAATATAAATATATAAATAATATAAAATTTGAAAGAGTTATCCATGTTGCAAGATTAATGATCAAATAAAAACCATATAAAAACTTCTAACTTGCGTTTATTTATATAAAGTCGTACTAGTTTCGGGTTACCCCATCATCAGCGACAACTATAAAGAGTACGAAAAATAAGATAACAATCAAAAAGTGATAAATATTTTTAATATAAAATAAATTTTGTTGAAATAAAAGTTAGAGGTTAAGTTAAAAATACAAAACGTTCAAAAATTTTTAACAAATACGCGAAAAACCTTAAATCAATCTTAAATTAAATTATATAACAAAATTAATTTAAACTTAGAGGCAGGAAACAATCAAAATGGAAAACTTTTTTAAATTTAAATAGAGTTGACCACGAGGAAAATGAGGAAAAGTGAAAAAAATCAAAAAACTGAAAAATACTTACAGTCAATGAAGCTATAAAAGGTGCAGACTGGAAATCAGGAGAAAGTAAAGCATTTTGCTATCTGATGGATAAACAAAATGAAGATCAAGTTGAAAATACAAATAGCGACGTTAAAAATGTGGAATCTAAAAATAATAAAAAAAGGGAAAAATGAAAACCTTTAAAATATTAAAAGGACCAAAATAATAAATAAAGTATAAAAATGAATAAACTTACGTTAAAAATTAGAAATTGGAATAAATCTTTAAGATCATATTAAAGATGTGTTGGTGGGATGAGATGAGGCGAGACTGAGGAAATCAAGCCAGAGCAATTGTTAAACTGGATAAGAGAGATAAAAATAAAAGAGAAAAAGATGAGGGAAATAATCGCTCTGTGAAAAAGTTTAAAATTTAAATCATAAAGAAAAAGAGTTTTAGAATGTAAATTATTTAGATTGAAAATAGGTTTGTATAAATTCTGAATTTGGTCATTAAGCAAAGTAAAGTTATTATTATTATGTCTATGGATTTCTAACAATTCCAATAGATCAAGTCTATAGCTTTTTTGGCATTTATGAATAAGTGAAATATTATCAAAATTAATGTTATGTCCCGTTTCAACTCTATGTTTGTAAATATTTGATTGAATTTTAGTTTTGTGTTCATTAATTCTGTTTTCCAGTCTACGGCCAGTTTGACCCACATAAATTCCGTTACAATTAGAGCATCCGATTGAATACACCCCACTCTCCTTGAGAACATCAAATTGTTTATAATGATAATTGGATAGAAGCTTAAGAAGAGAATTATTGTTAGAAAAGGCTAAGGTTATATTAAATTTTTTGAAAATATGTTTAGACTCCATAGTAATATGATTGAAAGAAATGGGTTTATAAATGGAAATGTTATCAGTTTTAGTGAATAAAGGATCTTTTTGTTGTTGTATTTTATTATGTAATTTACTAATGATATTAGAAGGAAAACCGGAATGATAAGCTAAGTTATAGATGTAATTAAATTCCTTTATTCTGTTGATCTCTGATAAAGGGTAATTAAGGGCTTTATTAATCAAGTATCTGAAATTAGCTAATTTATGTGACATGGGGTGGGAAGAATCAAATGGAATTGTGGTTGGAATAACTGTTGGCTTCCTAAAAATGTCATAAGTAATGGAATCAGAGTTATCTCTGGTAACAGTAAGATCAAGAAAGTTGAGAGTTTTATTCTCTTCAATTTCTAGTGTAAAGTTAAGTTTAGGAAATAAGCTGTTATGAAAATCGTTTAGCTCGGCAATTCTCCCCTCCCAAACACAAAAGACATCATCCACATATTGAATCCATTTACAAATATGGTTTTGAAAAGGATTATTGTTGCTAATTATATATTTATTTTCAATATGATCAAGGAAGATGTCTGAAAGAAGACCGGACAAGGGCATGCCCATAGGAAGTCCTTCACTGATATGGTAAAATTCATTGTTAAAAGAACAATATTTTGAGACACGACATGTTTAAGTAATTTATTTAAATCTTCTGTAGTATTATTATTATTGAAAAAATCTTTAAAAATTTTAGAAACTAGGTTTAAAGTAAAATCAATTGGGACATTGGAATACAAATTTGTCACATCAAAGGATATTAAGATTCTATTTTTATAATTTAAATGTTCAGTTTGTTCAATGAATTTAATGGAACTATTAATCGAGAATTTAGGTTTGAAATTTATAGTTTTGAAAATCTTTAGTAAAAAACATGATATCTTTTCTGTGGGTGAGTTATTAAATGAAGTGATAGGCCGAATGGGCATGTTTATCTTATGTAGTTTGGGAAGCGAGTACAACCTAGGTATAGTAGGGTTCATGTGAATAAAAAGTGAACTATTAAAAAATGTTTGGTTCTGCAGAGAGGGTGTGTATTCAATCAGAGTTTCCTTACATTGGTTTATTATTTCTCTGGTCCTTCGTACAGTTCTCTCAATTGGGTTGATGTTAAGTTTGACATAGCTGTTTGCTAACATAAAATCATGAGTTTTATCAATGTAATCACTCTTACTAATAATCACAACGCCGGCGCCCTTGTCAGCTTTAACAAAAATACCATCACCCTCATCGAGTTTTGCTTTTATGCTTTTTATGATCTTCCACTGTGAAGAGTTAAAATTATTTTTATCTTTATTTTTATTTTTACTAAATTTCTGTTGAATCTCTTTCTTTTTAACAAATGATATTAATTGATTTTTAATCTCATTGAATTCGGGTTGGTTTTTTATGATAACATCAAAATCAACAGCGATATCAGTTAAATTAGATTTACTAGAAAGAGCAAACTTATAACCCTTTTCAATGAGATTAACCTCCTCTTCGGTGAAGGTGATGTCAGTTAAGTTGATGAATTGTGATTTTTTGTTTAAACTATTAAATTGTTTTTCTTTGTAATTATCAGTCCTGACCTTATCCCTATTCTTCCTTAAACTATCTATCTTCCTCATTTTCCTACGTAGATCGTCTCTCTTCGTGATGTTGGCCTCGTTGATGGATTCTTGGATTATTTCATCCAATTCTATGTAATGTAGATTCTTGTTAAGGGTTCTCTGTGTTCTTGCCATTTGTTCGTATGTGATGTTTTGCCTCTTGTAGTGTCGCCTCCTCTCATCCCGCAGTATATTTCTAATGATGTTATGTTTAGTTGTTTCTTTGAGTATGTTACATTTTAACTTCGCAAAATTTGGTATTAAATCTTCTTTTATACAAATATTAATGAATTTGATGTGATCATCTATGATTTCCAGTCTCGTATATAGCTTCTTAAATCCATGGATAAGTGATGAAGTATTAACGATGAAATTGAAAGAGTTATCCATGTTGCAAGATTAATGATCAAATAAAACCCATATAAAAACTTCTAACTTGCGTATAATAAAAAATATAAAATTTGTTTGAGGCTGAAGTTTGTCCCGCAATGCTTTAAAACGACACAGATAATTATGCTCAAAAAACGTAACAAATAAGCGGAGCAAGTTGGATTATACAGGCTTACCTTTATCGATATTACATGCCATTTCCAAATTGTTTGTTGTTGAACATATTAGATTCTAGTTTGGATTTCGTAATCGCCATTTTACAATTCATCAAGACAGCCACTATTAGACTGCATTTGAAGAGCAAAAATACTGTTCTGCAGTTTTCCTGGACAGGTGTTTGACAAGGTGTAGCGCCAGATACTTCTCTATAGCCTGCGAAAACTGTCACGGAAATATTGCCAACTACTGGAATCGTATCTTTCTGAATGTGAGTTTAGAACAGTGGTGTCCATAACGTCGATCGCGAAGCCGTTTTGAGTCGATCGCCAACAACATCTAGGATCTGAAATATCTATATCTAGGCCTCAGAGCAAAAGGTTACTTTTCAATTATAAAAAAAGATTTTATACCCTTCGGTCGATCTTGGCAAGACATTTATATAAAACGTCGATCTTCATCAAAAATTGTGGACACCACTGGTTTGGAGTGTTTCATGAAGAGGCATACTCAACATTCAAACCAATCTAGGCTGGAGTACCACAGGGAATCCTCCTTTATTTATTATATTTTCCTCTCCACCATGATGAGACTGAACTGCAAGTAACATATTAGACAAAAAGCTGAGCAAATTAAACTCAAAAGTAGACAAATATTATGGTTAATCCGTAAATGCNATATTATGTATCCTTATAGTACGTTTAAAAATATTAATGACGTGTTTTTTCTTATTTGCCTCTGACCATCCCCTGCAAAGTTACGGGGTACAATAGATAACCCCTTTCCTTAAGAATAATGTGATAAACTGTTACACTTTTGAACAATATTTTGAAAAAACCATTAATTAGATGTAAATTAAATCTTAATTTACATCTAATCTATATTACATCTACACAATAAAATAAATCCTATACGACATTAAGGGGTGGCTGGGGTTAACTACCCTAATCACCACAAAAATAATTTTTTTTTGCGAAAATTGTTTGTCGATTTTGGTGCAATTTACCACGATGATTTTTTATACATTAGGTAGTACTATTGTAAGAACCTACAAAGGTTAGAAGATTAGAAATTTGGGGTAGAAAATATATTTTCGCTAATTACTTTCATAATGCTACAGAAAAATCTTTTTTTATCCTTATTCTATTTAAATAACACAANTCATTCAACGTAGTCAAAACAAATTTTCTTAGACTGATTACCAATGCTTATCGTTATGTAATCAAGAACTTCATAACTACATCGAAATCAAATCGATTGTATTAAGGTTACACTAAGCATGTCTAATAGAAATGTTATTTTAAAAAAATCTGAAGCGCATAACAACAAGCAATGAACAACAGGTCAACGAGGTCTTGGTAGTAACCCAAGTAGGCGAGAGAGCAATAGAATACATTAAACTAGCTTAAACGCAAAAACGATGATAACAGCTAGACAACCACGTAAGTGTGAAGGTTTATACGGACATAAGCATTTATGCAATCGTTGGGTAGCACTAACGGGAAGTATCAGAACTGTCCCTCACCGATTTTGTTGAAATTTGGTACAGCGATAGTATGGCCAAAAATAAGGTACTGCAAGTAACATATTAGACAAAAAGCTGAGCAAATTAAACTCAAAAGTAGACAAATATTCTGGTTAATCGGTAAATGCTCCCAACTTGATCTGCGATCAAAGTGACTAGTTTATTAGTTTATAATTAAGCCTATCTAGACTTACGAAACACAACTGTGAGGTTGTACTAAGCCATTTAATCAAGCGATCATCCAACGTAGTCAAAACAAATTTTCTTAGACTGATTACCAATGCTTATCGTTATGTAATCAAGAACTTCATAACTACATCGAAATCACATCGATTGTATAAAGTTTACACTAAGCATGTCTAATGGAAATGTTATTTTAAAAAAATCTGAAGCACATAACAACAAGCAATGAACAACAGGTCAACGAGGTCTTGGTAGTAACCCAAGTAGGGGAGAGAGCAATAGAATACATTAAACTAGTTTAAACGCAAAAACGATGATAACAGCTAGACAACCACTTAAGTGTGAAGGTTTATACGGACGTAAGCATTTATGCAA